TTCAGTATCATCATCAGAGTGTTCACACAGGAGAAAAGTCTTATCAATGTAGTGAATGAGAGAAGTCTTTTAGAACTAGGACTGAACTTCATAATCATCAGAGTTCATTCAGGAGAGAACACTTAGAAATGCATTGAATGTGGGAAATCTTTTACAAGTAGCGATAGTATTCAATATCATCAGAGAGTTCATACTGGAGAAAGCAGTTATGAGTGCACTTAGTGTGAGATGTGGGGAGCTGGCATGGCCATGGCATACTCAGCCCAGTGTGCCTTATTTGCCATGCCAGCTCGGCCTGGGTCAGTGAACCTGAGTTGGGGCGATGAAAGTATTAAGAAAAGACAGAGAAGAGAATGAAAGCTGGGTCTCGGTGTGACGCTGCCCTCTGGGGTGGAGAGAGAGAGTGCCAACACCCACAAGCCGTGTCTTTATTTTATAGCAGATGCCACGAGGCAAAGTAAGGGCATGATCAAGATGCTTACAACATTCTCGTGGGTTCAAATCCTACTCAACTACATGCACCTGAATGCTATCTCTCAGGCACGTGGGGCCAAGTTTTTGGACTACAGGTTCAAGCTTACAGCTATAGCTATTGGCTATAATTGTGCTGGGAAGGCTCTGCCCTCCAAGTTGGGACTTGCATGTGGCAATGAGAGGACTGTGCCCTCTCATCAGTCCAAGGCTTGAACCTGTCCAAAACACTAGCATGCCCCAAAAGATATCTCTCAGCCAAATTTGTAAATCTTCTCTGCACAAAAGAGTCCAAATGTGAAAATTTTTTAAACATGTGGGACATGTCGTTTCTCTGTTAGGATTTAACAGTTGTGTAAGAAAACATGTGAAGTCGTAGTGTGAATTACATCTCATACATTTCATCACCTCCTTTATGTGATATCCCCCAACTGTTTTTGTTCTGTTTGTTAGTGTTTCTGTTGGGACCTTATGTGTCTATATTGCATGTTCCAACATAGGGAGAAGTGTTTCCATGTGTATGTCACTGCATATTTTTTTTGCTGAAGGTATTTCACCTGAATCACCTATAAGGTCCCTACAGATGGCATCAATCACCATCCTCCTGTGCCCAGGGAAGCTAACGCTGTTGTGTCATTTGTTGAAGAAAATTAGGAATACCTGAGCCCTTTGTTCTTCTTTGTTTCCCTGTCATGAGTTGCCACATAGGAATGATTACCGTTGGCGCCAGTAAACACAATGTTGGAGAAAAACTGCCATTGTCAGAAACAGACTTTCCCTAAAAAATTGCCATTGTCAGAAACAGACTTTCTCTACATGCCAGGGATGAATTTATTGGGTTCCTACGTCATCAGTGGGAGAACTGCCGGTCTCGGGTCTCTTTCATTGCAAAATAATGAAGGCTTTCTCCTAGGACTTCTTTAATGCTGAGTGTTCTTTTGACTCTATTGGTTAATTTAGAAGAGAAGGAAATATTATTTTGCCTCTACGGTGTCATTTCCCTCATTTTCACACACTTAACTCCTTAGAAAAAGGGAACACTGTTAGGGTTTGGCAGGTGATGCAGGCTGTGGAAAAATTTACACTTAAAAGAAGCCATGCTGGGAGGAAGTTTGTTTTCCTTTCCAAGGGAAGAAAGGGCCAAGTATTGGTTGTCAATACAGGGTAAGGGAGAAAGGCTGAGTTCTGCTTTTCATCAGTGGCTCTAGCTAAGGGAGAACAAATGCAGGGGCCTAGGGCTTTGCTGAAGTTGAGTAGATATGGGGGCTGTTTTTAAAAGTCACAGTTTGTTTGCTTTCCAGAAGACAGTCTGACAGATGTATAGTGAGGTGTCTTATCAGTATTTTTCCCAAGCCTATAAAATATGACTAGAGAAAATGTATGGAGTGTTCTAAAGAGGCTTGTTTGAAGAGGGAGAAGAAAGGAAACTACGGGGCACGGCTACAGTGTTTTGGACAGGTTCAAGCCTTGGACTCATGAGAGGGCACAGTCCTCTCGTGGCCACGTACAAGTCCCAGCTGGCGGGACTTGTTGTAAGCTTGAACCTGTTGTCCGAAAAGGGGACCTCGTGACTGTGTGATAGAGTTCAGGTGCTTGTAGTTGAGTCGGGTTGAAACCAACGAGAATGTTGTAAACAACTTGATCACGCCCCTACTTTGCCTCATGGCATCTGCTATAAAATAAAGAAATGGCTTGTGGGCGCTGTCTCATCAGGGAGGCAGCGTCCTACAGAGACCCAGCTTTCATTCTCTTGTCTGTCTTTTCTTAATCCTTTCATCACCCCCACTCTGGATCACTCTTGGCCGCACTGGCGCAGCACAAGTGGCATCTGAACAGGCCTGAGTTCGAGGGTAATTTGAAAAGTGGTCAGTTGAAAGGAGTCCAAGGTGGGGGCAGAGAGTAAGATTAAAAAGTAAAAGTAAGGTAAGAAGTCCAAAAAACAAAAATATGGTAGGGAGCTGTTGTATGGTAAATTAGCTTGGTGTAAAACATGGGACCCGATTCCAGTCAAGGGTACACACACACACAAAAAAAAAAACATGGGACATTGCTTAATTGAAGCACTTTTAAAGTAGGCATTTTTAAAATTTCTAAGGTAGAAATAAGCGGGAAGAGTTCAAGATGGCGGCATAGGTAAAAACCGGAGTTTGCTACCTCGAACAACCACTTCAAAAATACAACTAAAACATGGAACTGACATCATCCAGAACCATAGGAAGGCTGGCTGAGTGGAAATTCTACAACTAGAAGGAAAGAGAAAAGCATACTGAGACTCAAAGCAGGTGCGTTGCGGAAGTAAAATACCAAGGTGCGGAAGTGCATGTGGAGCGGGCTGGTGGCTGAGGGCATGGTTGTCGTTTGCAATTGGGAGGGATTCTCAGGCTCTGAGCTCCAATTCCGGGCGAGTCTCTAGGGACCCAGACTCATATGGGAGAAGCACCACTGTCAGGCATCGGTCGGAACTCAAGGGCAGCTTTCTCTCGGAGGGGCTGGCAGGAATTTCCAGGATACTGAGAAGGTGAGACACCGTAACTGCTAGCCCCGCCCTGTTGATCCCCTGGGACCCGCCCCGCCCAAGCCCTGCAGGGAGGTGTCTGCTGGATAGCCTCATGCAAAGGCTAGATTAGCACCTCCCTAGAGATCCAGGAGCCAGGAAACCTAGAGGTCAGAGTGGGACCATCCAGTTTGCAGCTCCATGGAACCCTAAAAGTCACGTTCAGGGGACGGACTCAGTGACCAGCAAAGCCCCATTGAAGCAAGTCTTGCCCCAGAGGGGTGCTTCCAGCAAAGAAGTTCTCCCACTGCAGACACAGCTGATTCTCACAGCCAATTAGCCTGGAGGTCAATTCCTCCCAGTGATACTTAAAACAATCAAGACTGTGCACAAAGACCATAAGGGGGTGCACCAAGAAAGCATAAAAAATGCAGAGACAAAAAGGAAACATGACAGAAATGGAGGATATAGAGCTCAAAACCACACTTTTAAGGTTTTT